AACTGAGCCACCCAGGCGCCCCACATGCTTATTTTGACTGTAATAAATTATGTTCTTCAAAAGCAAGATGTAGTGTGTAAGCACATCACCATTACACATGTTCTTGGTGAACAGAGCTTCTATAAAATGGAGAGGACGCATTGACAGGGTTTAGAAAATGCAGGCGTTCCAGAGTTTTTTGCACAATCTTCAATTACTAGGAAGTTTCACATTTCAATTCTCTGTAAAGAACTTTAATCTTGTATTTCCTTCTCAAACAAAATGTATTTTTAAAAAAGATTTTTGTCCCCAAAGAATCTAACTTACAAGTTAGGCAGAAACTCTTTTCTCCCCCTCTGTATTTTGGACAACTGAACATCGGTAAGGAACGTGGGAGAAACTACAAAGTTTCCAGTTGTTTGAAGAAACAAGTAGGAAATTCAGAGAAGTTATTAGAAATTGCCATAGAAATCAGAAAACCACAGAAGAATACTAAGAATAGTAACTAGGAAGCAATCAGCAACTTTTGTTTTTGTCTACACTAAATTCTAAAAAATGCTGAAACACATAAAGACAACAAATGCTTTAGAACAACCACTGAATATGATATCCTCCTACTTGCAGATGATCACACTTTCTTCTCTAGATCCAAGTGTTTCATTTTGCATTTGACCTTAATTCTGTTAGTTTTGAAATCCCCGCAGTCACCTTGTCAATCTATATCTGCTTCCTCCGAAAACAAATTAATTGTTGATGAATCCCTCCTTAAGACTTTACCACTTAAGGTAAGTTTTATTGCCTTCCGAAACCATGGGTAAAAGAAAGCATATATCAAGGGATTCGTAGCTGAATTATAATAAACACACCACACTAAACATAAGGAGGAGTTATAAAATTCATGTAAGCATCAATCGCAGCATCAATAATGTATGGCAGCCAAGAGACAAGGAATGCCGCCATAGCGATACCCAGTGTTTTCGCAGCTTTTCTCTCTCTCTTTGCCACGCGTTCCCGGTAACTCTCTGAAGAGGACCGAGCTTGGCTGGCTGAACTTTCTATCTCCCTAGCCTGATGTCTGGCTACCAAAAAGATCTTACCGTATATAAACACCATGGCGACAGTGGGTATAAAGAATAGAAGGAAACAGGGCGCCTGGGTGGCTCAGTCGGTTAAGCGGCTGCCTTCGGCTCAGGTCATGATCCCAGAGTCCTGGGATCGAGTCCCGCATCGGGCTCCCCGCTCTGCAAGGAGCCTGCTTCTCCCTCTCCCTCTGCCTACTTGTGTTCTCTCCCTATCTCTCTGTCAAATAAATAAATAAGATCTTTAAAAAAAAAAAAAGAATAGAAGGAAAAAAGTAGAACCCAGTTTTGATTCAGTGGCGCCAGACAGCCTCCTACACAGGTGAGAGCAACTACTAAGTCCTCGATTCCTTCCTCATTGGCCCCAGTGTAAAAGATGCAAAAACTATACGTGACAGAAAAGAACCAAGAGAGAACAGTGCAGATGCCTGACATCGAGACAGTAAACTTGGTGGGATAGGTCAGAGGATCAGTAACAGCAATGTATCCATCAATAGAGATACAGCACAAATGAAATAAAGAAGCAAAACAGAAGGAAGTATCGAAACATGTATGAAATTTACAGTAACTCTGTCCGAAGTACCAGCCGCTCTCCACAGACCTCACTGCGCGGAAGGGCATGACGGCCACTCCCACCAAGAAGTCCGTGCAGGCCAGGGACGCGATCAGAAAGTTTGTAGGTGTGTGCCGCTGCTGGAAATGAAGGATTGAAATCACCACCAAGAGGTTACCGAATACAGTCAGCACAGCTCCAAAGCCAAACACTGCATAGAGAATCATGCGGGGGCCTGGCGAGTAGGGAGTTTTGACACAGGATCCATTCACGTTCTCAAAGCAGAGCTCCACGGCTGCAGGAGGGGAGAGACTGCTCACCATTGCCCTCTTGTTGGAATTATTGTAAAATTGTCAAATTCCCGATGTCAGCAATTTAAAACAAGAAGATGTGAATTTCAAAAGCCTCTGGGAGGGGAAAAAAAGAAACCCCTCCAGTTAAAATGAAAACTAGTAACTTTCCCACCAATTTTTTTTTTTTTTTTTTTTT